GCAGCCGAGTTCCACGCTTGGAAGTAGTGAGGGTCACCGGGAATCCCTCTTTCTCACTTTGAGCAAAGTGAGTGGCACGCCATTTCATCTGCCACGTGTCAAGGAGATTTTTTGGGACAACAATCTCTTTTTGGCACGCCCAGTGGGACCCACTGTGGGCTTTCACAAGCTTGTTAATCATATCCTCTATTACTAGATTGTGCCACCATGGCAAGTCCTTATTTTGATGATTGCCAGAAGCTCTTCATCACTCCACCACAAGCTTCCTCTTATGCCAATCCACTTTATGATGAGAAGGCAACAGCTGACAATGAGTCTTTCAAATCACTTGCTGAAAGGATAGCTGATTTTGCTGAGGAATCTAACAGGCTTCATGAGGAACACATGAGGAGGTTGGAGGAAAAGTTGAAAGGATACAAATCAAATCTTCTAGAACTTAAAACCCCTCAACCCAAAAGTGAGGTTTTAATGGAGGATTCAAAGAAGTGCCATGCAGCCGCATCTCCAGGAACTTTGAAGCAGTTTTGTAAATCGCAAAATGTGACAGAGATGCCAATTGTAAATGAAGGTCAGACGACACTGAGGTCAGAGAGTAACCCCATGATCACAGTCGGGGGGCATGAATCACAATTGCAGCGTGCTGTCCAAAGTCAGCAACGCCATGCAGCTTTGGAGGCGACTTCAACAAGTATGCCTCCAAGTCGTTCTAAGTCTACAAAGACTAATACTAGCAATAGTCCTCTTACTCCTGGGAGGCATAAACCAACTCAGGTGCAGACATGTCAGCCATCGATCAATGAAGGTCCATCTGATGGCCGACAAAAAGTTGATGCTGCTACACAAAAGCCAACACTTTGGCCAGCATCAGTACATAAATCTGATAAGGTATCTACCTCATCTACTTCTACTTCTTTTGAGACTAACGAGCATGTTTCTTCTGCCTTGCTTAAGAAGTGTTCGCGGCGACCATGCTTTCTTAATGGTCGAAGCCCTTCCAAGTTCAACTATGGGCAATGGCTAAAGGTGAAATATCCTTTTAAAGTTGTTAGTTTGAAGAGGGGAGTCATTTCCAGTCTCGGGGGGCAACCTAGTCAGATTGAACAACAAAGGTTGCAAGACCTTATTGCCAATGAAGTTCACAAAGCTATAGAAAAAGAGGTAGCAAGGTTTGTGCCATTGCAGCCTGATGCCAAT